AACGTCCGTCGTCTATAGATCTCGGTATTTTTTTTTCGGGAGGGAACGGGAAGGGCGGTTAGTGGTGAAAAGCTGGATGGGCAACCACCTCACGGCCGCCGACAGAGCCCCGCATTCCTTCATATACTATTTCCGAAATTAGGAATCTAGAATTTGTATCAAGGCTTGCTTCAACATCGTAATGGTTTATTGTTAGGGAAAACATGTGGTGTTTTCCCTGTTGGGTACAGATAGAAAATGAAAATTTAACACTCTACGAGTTAATTTACATCTTTACACCAGGTATATTAGGCATCACATAATCATTCTAAATCATTCACTACTTACAATGACATATCATTGACCATGCAATGCCCTCCGCAATAACGTCGCAGAAAGGTGAGTAGACTACAAAAATATCTTTCGAGGAAAATTTTCACTAAATTCTGAGAAACTCGATCATGGAAAGTTTTGGAATGCTCTTGCGGCCGAGTATGCTTTGTTGTATACATTCCCGTGAAGATGGTTAGCAGAATTATTTTTTGTTTCTTAAAACTATTATTATATTTTCTCCTTTACCATTCGCTGAACACTAAAAAATACTTGGGCTATCAACTACTGCACCGTGTTGATAGTCTCCCACGGGTGAAGGGAAGTCCAATATGGGAAAAGCACTAGGATGGAGGTTTCGCGCAGGACAACTCCTTCGTATTCCTCTTAGGTCTTTGTTTAATTACACAGACACAAGAATGACTAATTCAATTTTTATAGAATATCCCCACTTGCAAATTCTGCTAGGTTATATTTTCTTTAGTTCATCCGAAAGACAGAGGTCACTTTCTCATATCACCAACAACGACGAATAAAAACTCTCCGTTATCCCCACGTTTGTCGATGGTCCTTGCATTCCCTCATGTTATGCTCAGCTTCTCTCCTTTTGAACGATGAATAGGGCAGGTCGACACTCCCAAAAGCTGATAGGGCAATGGATCGACCGCTACGGACCATGCCTCTACTCCAACCGCAAATACGAACACCGCGATGTTTTCGGGTGGAAAACCGATTACTCAAATGGTTCTCCCTTTTCAAGTGTAAGGAGATCAATCGAGTGTATAAGTAGATGGTATAAGTCAATAAGCCCCTCACGCAAATTAAAATGGATACCAAGTATTCTACCATTGAAAAAATAAGAACAAAGCATTAACGGACATGGGGCGGCCATTTTTAGCGATGAACAAAGCCGTACTCGTTAATGACATTTGCATTGCATTAAAAAAGATATAAAAAAAACTAACTCAAACTTGTAGGAAGTGCGGTAGACTCCATATGATATGAAGTGTTAAGGATTCATACTTTCTCTGCCTGGTAAGGCAATTGAGAAATCAATTAATGTCTTCTAAATCATAAATCTTTAAAAATAACATTTTAATCCAATTCAATAATATTTTAAATAATATTTGAGTCAAATGATTCAGATTTGCATCGATTCTTCAAATCATGATGAGGTGTCATGTCAGTTTTAATGTGGCAAAATTCTCAAATTCTTTCATCCATCTCATAAATACCCAAATTCTTGCAATTGCGGATTTACGTGTAATTTGTTATTCCAAATCACAAATGAAATCAAATAAAATTAATTTGGGTTTGCTCACTTTTTGCTGCTCATAAACTTCTAGCACAATAATTGATTTGTAATGTCTGCGTGTAAGATAGTCTATAAATCAAGGACGTGGAACAGAAGCTGTCGAACTTCGATTCCTGGTAGAACGCATACAATGAATATAAGAAGGGAGAAGGAAATGGGGAAGATGCACTTATGCGATAGAGTCGAATGGGAAAGGAGAAAGAGCAGTAGCCAAAGGGTGATTCCTCTTCATTCAAGTGTGGTTCCTGAACTCCCGGCCGAAGCTCACACTCTTCAACCGATGAAAAGAGAAAGAGAAGAGAAGAAAGAAAAAAAAAAAGAAAAAGAGAAATCCGCAAAGGAAGGATATAGGTACAACGAACCCCTGCCCATATCCTTTATGTATATCTCTGAAGACACACACCTTTACACGAATAGGCGCTAAAGGCCTTCTAGGGCATCATAGGCATGCAGTCATAGGTTCGTTTCGGTGTCATGAATCACTATGCAGGACAATGGCACCCGCCTCTGACCCGCAGTAGCCACTCGTCTCTTCTGTTGACTACTTTATCTCTTTTGACCGTTACATGACCATCAATATTTCCGATGCCCTTTCAGCCTAACACGTGAATATTACGCGGAAAGGGAGACGGATGGTCGGCCTACTTGTTCCACCTATTCAAGAAAGGCTCATAAAATAATGGTGTAGGTTGGAAGCTAGGCAATCCGGACTGCCCCGGGGTCATAATTGTTGCCTGTTTCTGAAGGGGAAGGTCGCCTCCCTTGCCCTCGTCCATTGTCCCTTCCCCCTGAATACAATAGAGCCTCGTTCTGACCCCTCTCTCACTCATCCCATTCAAGAGAATTGCGTCACACGTTTGAGGGAAGGCATGAATCTATTGCCCGAGAGTCGAGGACTTTGACGAGCTCCAAACGATACAGTGAGAGAGGGAGAGAGAGAGAGGAAAAGAAGGAAAAATGCGATAGGAATGGAAGGATGCATGGAGTTGGTGGGTTATCTGGCAGCTCTATTGTTATGGTTCAGGCCGGGTGCCAAGAAATTTGACAAGCTTCTCTAATTGTGTTCAGGCGACAGCCCAGCCCAGCCATGCAGCCAGCCGCTTGGTCCTGCTTGTCAAAGAAAATTGGGGGGTTGTTCCGAATCCTCATCTCTTTCCCTCCCCCACCCCCCTACTCCGCATTAGACCTATCTTTTCCTCCCTCGACCCTCTCTGATCATTCCGACCAATTTCTCTCCTGTTTCATAGGCCAAATGTTGCTCATTCAGAAAATGAAGTTTCCTGTCAATTCCTCTTTCTTCCTGGCACCATCTCCTCCTCTTCTCTTTTATTATCTTGAATAGAGGGTCTTGAGTGTTCAATGGAGCATGCTGTGGAGCAAGTAATTCATGGCTGGAGAGTATTTTAGGGCTCATTCTCGGCTAGGTCTTTCCTGTTCAGCACCTTAGCACTGCTCATTTGCGCTAAGCATCCATGCCAATAGTACTGAAATGGACGCACAGGAAACCATTTCCTTTCATCCTCTAGTCATGGTCCCGGCTTCCTTCTTCGCTTCAGGTTCTCTCTTGAGTGAATGAAGAAGGATAAGCCGGGGTTCCAGAGCTCGCTGATACTCTCATCTGTATGCCATGATCATGTTACTCCTGTGCTCCTGCAGGTCAATATCATTTTCCATCCCACTGCTTCATTCTATATGTGATCGGAATTCCTCATGACGCTTCTCCCCTCTCTCTCCACCCCGATATTGTAGCCCCATATTCCTCTTCGGTCTCTTTCCCCTAAATGACAACTTCTATTTAGGCCCCATCAGCTGGCTAAACTCTCTAACAGATCCCCAGATGCCAGAGGGGATTCAGCACGTGCACGCGAGATTCCAGGCTCTTCACCGCATTCATTTATCAGCAGAGAACGGAGAACGTCGGAGGGGGAAGAGAGAGAGAGAAAATAAAAAAAAAGGAAGCAAGCAGGGAAAAGCTAGATATCCCAATCTAATATCGAACCTCAGAAACCAATGGCTCCGAAGGCTTTGATTTTATTTAAACGAATTCAAACTTTTATTTAAACGAATACAAATTATAACCGGTAGCCATGTGTATATACAAATTAACCAATGAACCCACGTTGAATCTTCCTTCACTCTGACGTCAAAATCTAGAAACATGAAGGGAACGTTGCCGAATGACGTTAAACCTTGCCCTTTCTGCACACTTATTTCAGGCTTACGCTTACGGAGAGCCGATGATTTTGACTGTCTAAGGGACGAGAGGTAGAGGTTTCTACCGCGGAGACCATTTTCTATCGTCTTCCAGGAAGATTCCTGGTATAGTTTAGAAGGTGGATCGATGCTTCATGTCCAAAACAATCCACTGTACTCGCAACAACCGTGTCTTCCCATGGAGTAGTCTCCTTGAACCTCCTCGTCCCTTGAGACCGACTAAAACGTCAGAGTGAAGAGAGACAGACAGACGTTTAGGTGTCTTGAGGTTGGTAAGAGTGATGGATCATCACTTGGAAGATGATGGGTTCAGTTTGATAAATTGAAGAGAAGCGAAGGTAACTTTTTTTTTCACACTTAGAAGCTATAACTTTGCATGCAGAAAAAAAAACGCTTTTCGGCCGAAATTTTATATTTTTTGTTTGCCAACCCAGATTTTCCATCACAGGATTGCCGAAATGTGAAGAGTTGAACAATCCAGAATTAAGAGCTCACATCCTATGCTAGCAGTACGATCACATTTCCGTGCTGGTGAAATTGCCGAATGCTGAAATTAATTAGACTAATGTTTGCAACAAAAAAATCACGCACCCTAGTAACGAAGCAAAGTTACTTTCAAGACACCCTTCATCCTATCTAAGTTACTTTTGGAACAGGATAACCTGAAATTTGATATTTCTAAGCAACATCAGTAACTTGAAATGAATATGTTATTCATGTAAATAAAATATGAATGCGTAAATAGAAAATGCTATGAATATGAAGCTGCGTGAAAGTGGAATTCTTAAAAGAATCTTATGGGTTGTGCCGTTGCTAAACGACTTCTCCCTTCGAAAGATCGCAAGCAGTAGTGAGCTTCAGGCTGTCTCAATCAGCGAGAACAAGCAAAGCCTCCTTTCTGGATGAAATCAGCTTACAACTTCCAGCTTACAGTTAGTTCTCTAAGCCAGATGTAACGGCATGCCCGTGGATGGTGAATCTGTTCGGTCGTCCCTATGCCACAGCGGTCGTCGTGGAAAGACGCCTCGCTTTCCGCTCATTCTTATTTTGAAAGGGGATGACGGAGAGGGATACATTTTTCTTCTTCGCTTGAGAATTCTCATTTAAGCGATTCGCTCAACACGTTTTTCCCAAGTTTTCCTAGTTTATGGGCCAACTTTTAATGCAGGGTCAGTGCTTTTGAGTTCTTCAGTCGGGAAAAAAATATTGTTGGAGCGGCATTCTTCCCAGAAGGAAGGGTGAAACCTGAACTGCTTCCTAGCTGCTGCATTCCATTTTCTCGCGATCCATTCAAAGTAAATTTTGCTACAGGTATCTGTGACTTGGCCAGTTACATTCATCATCCAGTAATTTGTAGCTTGGCTTAGTTACTTTTCTATATAGTAACTTTTAATATGACTAAGAGTACTTTGATAAATGTACCAAGAGTTATGGGTACATGTCTCATGGTCACATCAGCGATGAAGTATAAAATCGAAAATGCACCATGGTTATTAGATCTTGCCCGTATCGAGGAGCTATGAAGTGAGTTTCATTGCATTAAAACGTTAAGTAAAACGTTCGACTCTTCAGTAGTTTGTCCTTCTGTAGGTTAGTCAGTTTCACTCATTCTTTGCCGACATAGCAGTGTATAATATAAATACAGTGCCGAATTTCTTGAGTGGTCGCGCTAGTGAAGCGGCCAAGGAATAGGAGCTATGACCTCTCAATCTCTCCTCACCTCACCTTATCCCATAAGGCAATGAACAGGATGCATGTGTGTTTCAGAGCAAGAGGCATGCCTTGATACAGGAGAGAGAGATGCCCTGGTGGAAAAGATCGTCGACTTTTCCAGCGAACGCAGTCACAGCCGTCCTTCATTGGACGAGGAGCTGTCACCGGTTGAGAGTGAAAAGAAGGAATCCCGAATCTCCGCCGAGCCCTTCTTGCAGTCGGAAGACTTTGTCAATAACAATGACGAAGAATCTTGGGTGAAAAGCGGTCAGGGAAGCCCAGATATTGGGTTGAAGGAAGAGGAGCTGTTGGAAGATTCCAGTCCCACGGGTTCGGGATCCTTGAAACGGAGCCTGGACTATTTTCGGGAGAAATTAGCAGAACTGGGGTTGGGTAAGCCAGGTGCAGGAGGAGGGAATCTACCATCGACGAATGTCCTCTTGGAGGCCCTCGAGAATACCCGTGTCGCTGTGGCTCAATTTCCCACAGCTGCAGGAGAGTTGAGGAAAGGTTCCGACGGTACTGAGACTAACATGACTCCCAATCCAAATTCTTGGCAGGAGTTGCTTTTCCTCCAGTCCACACTATACACTCTCCAGCACCAGCAAGTCGTGCGCTTGCAGCTGATTCAAAAACTACAGCAGCAGCTCCAGCTGTCTCAGGCCAAGGAAAGAGGGGAAGATGCAGTAGAGCAACCGGGAAAGGAAGAGGAAATGGATGAGGATGAGGAGAAGAAAGAAATTGAAGGTAATTGCAGCCCTACTCTGTCGCCGTCCAAGCCTCAGAATGAAGACATACTTGCCACCGTACTACGAGGGAAGAGCCATGGCATGACGGAACTGCAATCAACCGCTGCAGTGACACCTTCTGTACGTACAGGTCCCAGTCCGACGACAGTACCCACAATGAACAATACTAGTTGTCCGACTTATTCCGGTGGCATAACGGGGCTGACGTCATCACCACCGCCTCCTTCTCATGTGTCCGCATCCGTTTCCTCTGCCGTCATCCCGCCGACGAACTACTCCCCTCCTCGGGATCAACCTACATCCTTGGAGTTGCTTCAAAAGACGGCCCAAGAAGTTCTTAGCAAGGCATCGAAGAATCTCCTCATCAACAGCCTTGTAGATGACTTTTCCAAGTCTCCTACCTCAGGCGACGACCGAACCAAAGAATCTCTATATAGACATCGATGCCGTTACTGTGGGAAAGTGTTCGGTAGCGACTCAGCCCTTCAGATTCATATCCGGTCTCATACAGGAGAAAGGCCTTTCAAGTGCAATGTGTGTGGGAATCGGTTCACGACAAAAGGGAACCTAAAAGTCCATTTCCAGAGACATCAAAGCAAGTACCCTCATATCAGGATGAACCCGAATCCCGTTCCAGAGCACCTAGATAAATTCTATCCCCCATTGATCCCCAATTGTGAGGGCGGGAAGTCCCCACCCCCACCCATCACCTCTTCGCTATTCTCCAGCATTCCTTTTTACCAAAACAGCTTTCAACCTCCCAGTGGATTACATTTGAATCCATTCATGTCTGCGTTCTTGCCAGTGCAAAAGGAGCAAGAGGGGCCCGTGAACTTGAGTAAGTCCACCAAAGAGCTAGACAGTGATCGGAAGCCTCGTGATACTGGAACTTGGAAACCAAAAGGGGAGGAACAAGATAAGGAAGCCATCGGCGATGGAATCAAAGCGCCTGATGAAGAAGACGAAGAGAGCGAAAAGACGTTGGATTTGTCATCTCGGTCGGAAGCCAGGGTTGGGCAAGGTCAGGGACGAGAACTAGAACAGAAGGAAGTACAAGGAGATTCTAGCGATTCGAACGACTCGGTAGCCCAAGAGCAGCCAGAGGATCTCAGCGCTGCATCTCCATCGTCTTCAGTTTCCACGACGCCCTCGTCGGGGCTTTCCTCTTCTGGGTTTGGTGGAACGGGTTTATCCCTCATCCCTCCTTATCTCTTTCCTCCCGTGACAGGACCTGGAGCTCCATTCCCTCACCCAACCCTTCTACCTAACTTGGATCCTGCCAAAGACCCAGCCATCTACAACAACCTCCTTCCCCGCCCTGGTACCAATGACAACTCTTGGGAATCCTTGATCGAAGTGACGCCTGCCAGCGAGACGACAAAACTTCAGCAATTAGTGGACAACATCGAGCACAAGCTCGGTGATCCGAATCAATGTGTAGTGTGTCACCGGGTCTTATCGTGTAAATCCGCCCTCCAAATGCATTACCGTACTCACACAGGAGAACGCCCGTTCAAGTGTAAAATATGCGGGCGAGCCTTCACGACGAAGGGTAACCTGAAGACTCACATGGGAGTGCATCGTATCAAGCCTCCTTTGAGAACAAACATCCATCAATGTCCTGTATGTCACAAAAAATTTGCAAACGGGCTGGTCCTTCAGCAGCACATTCGGCTTCACACGGGGGAGCCGACGGACTTGACCCCAGAGCAAATCGCGGCAGCTGAGATAAAAGATTTCCATCCCTTCGGATCTGCAGGAATTCCTCTCGGTCTCCTGCCCACAGTATCCATTCCCGGATCTGGAGCTAATGGGCCCCCACCATTCCTCCAAGGGATTTCTCCAAAGCCATCCTCAGGGGTTGCACCTGTCAGCCCTTCCTTGCATTCCATGGTCACCCCTGAACCAGATGTGAAGAAAGAGGTAGAAGACCCGATCACGGACGGTGAGAAAGAAAAGAATCGAAATAGCGTCGATACGAATACCGATATTCATTCGGATTCGATGGACGAAGATCTAGAGAGCCATGGAAAGACACCGGAAGAAGACTCCAGAGACGGGAAGGATCAAGATGATATACCGGGGGTAAAGGAGAAGGAACCGTTGTGGCCCAGGCCAGGGAAAGCTTTATGGTCCCCAGCAGCGGGGCTGTCTGCAGTAAGCGTTTGGAATCCCCTAAGACCGTTTGAAAGTTTCAGCAGGGAATCCGGTAACGTTCCGGAGTCTGCTTTGGACTTGACTCCAAAGACGGGGTTGGGGGTGGCACTGAAAAAGTTTCTTTCACCTCCTCCACCACCTCCACTTCCGCCTCCACCTCCCCTAACGGGGAACGGGACAGGAATGGTTGTACCAATGACATCGTCATTGCTCACCCCCCCACCATTGTCATCTCTTACATCATCTGTCACGACGGCTCCTCCTTTCAACCCTTTCGGTCTCCCTGTATCTCCTGGTCTTCGAGGTAAACAATCACACGCCACTCTCTTCCCTTTGACTAATCGTAGGGGAAAAGTTCTGCATGCAAAATGCCGCTTCCTGCATGCTTTATCCCGTTATTTTCCTTCAGTTCCGCGATGCAATACGACGTGCAACATCTGCTTCAAGACTTTTGCTTGCAACTCCGCCCTGGAGATCCACTATAGATCCCATACGAAGGAGAAACCATTCAAGTGCCTGGTCTGCGAGCGGGGTTTCTCGACCAAAGTATGTTGCCTTTCCTCAAAGTTCGCTCCTCTTTTTCTTATAGTACTTGCTTGGGGAGATGAGTGGCGTTCATCGTATGGAACGTGTTCACAGGGGAACATGAAGCAACACATGTTGACCCACAAGAAGTCAGAAATCCCAGTGGATGTCGGGGGATTGAAAACCGGATCTTCGGGGATCGAACCAGGGGAGAAACCGTCGGAAAAGGAGAAAGAGGAAGAAACAAGGAAGAAACGGCCTGCTTCGGAGAACGATGCTCCTATCCCCATACCAAAGAGGCCACCCGGTACGACCTGATGAGTGAAGAACCCATGCTTCTCGCCACTCGCGGGCCGGAGAGCTTACCTGTGATTTTACTTTCTTTCGTTCTCTTCTCTCAGGGTTCCCAAAGCACATGTGCCACGTGTGCCACAAGAACTTCAGTTCGGGTTCGGCTCTTCAGATCCACATGAGGACTCATACGGGAGACAGGCCCTTCAAGTGCCCTGTCTGTGGCCGGGCCTTCACCACCAAGGGTAACCTCAAGGTGCGTTTTTGAAATCCTTCTTTTTACGAGCAAGAAAGAAAAATGTAATTTTTGCATGCGAGAAAAGCCTGATCGATTATATTGTGGATGTAAAGGTGCATATGGGCATCCACATGTGGAATGGGACGTCTCGCCGAGGTCGCCGAATGTCTTTCGAGTTCCCTCCAAATGTAACGCCATTAGGGGGGAGTGGATTTGGAGCTCGGCTTTCCCAACCCTCACCTGCCCTATCTCCTCTCGTCGACAGAACTCCAGCTGATCCATACAACATCCATCCTTTCATGCCAATCAGGATTCCTGCATTCAACGGGCTTCATCCCAAGGTGAGATTCCGCACCCTGTGATGTTAATTGGAACAATGAAGCCGAGATGAGAAAGAACGAGAAAATAGCACACCGTATAATACCTGGCTCATTGTTTGCCTCGAAACAGGTGAATGAAATTTCCGTAATTCAAAGGACGCGTGATCCAAAGGAGGAAGTGAAACGAACAGTCAAAGGGGAATTAGATGAAAAGAAGAAAATGGACGAGGAGGAAATGGAGGATGATGTAATTGATGATGAATCGAGAAGCAAATCCGGGTGGTTGAGAGAAGGTGGTCGTTCCTCCTCACCACCTCCGCCTCCTTCCACACCGACCCCACCTGCATCACCGCCCTCCTCTCCATCTCCACCACAGCCAGCATCCTCATCCACAGAACTACTAATGGTCTGATCCCCGTGTACCTGGATGATGGTGATGCGGAACTTTAACCGTTGGGGTGGCGTGGTGAATCAGAATCCTAGGCGCGGGTGCGGTGCATACTGTTGAATTGATTACAATGGACATAGCTGCTACTTGGAGGAAGACAGGCTGCTGCTCACTTATACGCTTAATTCCGCACCACTGAATGTGCTCTCGTCTCCACACATGAAATACGTCATCTTTTCATCATTGTGATTCCATTTCCAAGAATATTGATTTTATATTATATGAGAGAGAAAGAGAGAGCGGATTTTTCCCAGCCACCAAATTAAGATGATTGGATGGCTATCCTGGTTCTTTAGAAAGTGATCTCAAAAGCAAAGAGTGAGGGACTGGAAGTGGTGTTGTAAAAGGATCTCTCATCTATGCTTTTTTCCTTGTTCCTCCTCGAGCGTCAAACCGTGATTCGGGAGGCGAAGAGAGACAGAGAGAGGAAAATGTACAGTCTTTCCTCATCATACGTTATGGCTGTTCTTGCACTCTCGCTGTCTCTCGGTCACTCCCTTGAAAGAAAAAAATACAGTAAATCCAGATCTCCAGAGACATGACGGACACAATCCTCTGCCCGTCTCTTTCATCTTCTTCTGCTTCTCCTCCATCATGATAATCGATTGAGGAATGGGATGAGTGAGGCAACCCACTCAAAATAAGCTTGTGTTGGTGTATTCTTCGGAGCATATGATTTCCAGGATGAAGCGCTTTTTATCACTGTGATCGATTTATTGATTGCTCTGTATTTATTGAGGTATTTAAAAATTGACGGTTTCCCTTTCGGTTTCCTGTACAGTACAATGGTGGGAATGCACCCCCCTCCACTAAGTTTTCATTCAATCCTCATGAAGAGTAATTTTTCTGTTCAGTCCTCTCGCATCCTCTTTTTTTTAATTGCTTTGATATGATGTTGAATGACCATCCGTAATTCCTAATAGACCAGAGGCATGTTTGGACTGGCTATTATTCTCCTCTCTTCTCCATTCTCCCTCCCTTCTCTCTTCTTCTCCTATAGGTGATTTAAATGAAGGACACCTGCGATTGAGAAAATAAACAGATTCTACGCCAGATGCATGCATTCATGGTTCTCGTCGGTATGCAACACGGCCCGAACTCGACATCACACATGGAATACATATAAGAGGGAGAAAATAGAGTAAAAGAAAATGAGGAGAGCTCAGCGGAGGGGATAGGAATGGGGGAAGGAAGGAAGGAAACATTAGATGGAGATGAACATTACGGCGGAAAAGGAAGAGGAGGATACTCATAAATGATGCACTTGGAGTTTCCAACTAGAGCCAGTGATATGTGTAGTTAATGAGTTGTGACTGTCAGAGACAAAAGCGAGCCCGGAGTTGCCAATTCCCAGTGGTCAGTCATCTCCTGCCAGGGCTTTATCTGGGACTCTCTCAGAGAGCCAAATCCCCCAGGCCCAAAGGTCACTACAACAGACAAAGAGGGAAATCATTGATATCGCATTAGAAGATTGAAAGCTTGTATCTTTATTCTCTTCCTCTCCCTCTCGTTCTTTCTCTTTCTCTTCCTCTTTCCTCCTCTGGACAATGGCTTCATCTCCTGAAAACTCCATTATCCGTTTTGATTTCCTTCTTCCTTCTCTAACAATAAGGCACTAAAGAGAGTCTTACTCCATCCATCAATCCACTCTTGCCCCATCCTCTACCTCCGTCTTCATCCCCCCTTTTTATGTTTTCCTTTTTTTCTATTCTGATGAGATCCAATGAAAGGAAAGCTGCTTGTCAGCGCTCATCTCTTTCTTCTTCTTGCTCCTTCTCGCTCTCTTGTAATTCTTTCTCTCCCCTATAAGACATAGAATATGACAATCTTTCGCACTGATCTAAATGATCTGGCTATTATGCCTCACTCGAGAGCCTACAGCGACTGGCATATGATTGCCAGTCCGTCTCGATTTCTTCGATGGATCAGCTCAATTTCATTCGAGGGAGTGTAATTATTGCGTTTTTCTTGAGCTCCTGTTTGCCGTGGCACTCTGAAGAAACGTGCCACCATGCCTGCCAATGCATGTGAGGTTCTTGGATCATCGCAAGATTCAACTGCAGGAAGGATAATGAAATCATCGATCGATCACTAATGATCGATGCTCCTGGACCCGTTCCCCCTCCATCAGGAAATTTCTCTTCCGACCAGGAAATTCGCCATCAGTCATTTCCAGCCCCGTAAGAAGGGAGAAACTTTCAATCCACAAATAATCCTCTTCGATAGTAATAGTACTTGTGAAGGTCCACACGACGTGTCTCCCTCTCGCAAATCAGTGCGTAACAACTAAGCTGACGCATTAAGTTGGGTTCCCCTAACACGATCTATACGGGTTAAATGAAGAAAGAAAGCTGATTTTCGATGTAAGATGAGGGAAATTGGTCCATTATAGGGGTGTTAATTGCTGTCAGTTGAAATAGTTGGTCCGCTTCTGGGTGATATCTGAAGCGACATTGAAATGGGCCAAACGAAAGGCGAGTTCCTCCCGGTTTTGACTGACTCTACATGACTTTGCATGCATTCAAACGCATTCAAACGTGGGTAACTTTCAACATCTTCTATCGTAGTTTCAATCAAGTAAGGAAGAGGTCCAAAAGTATGTCAAATAGCTGGCAAAAAAAAAATAATCAGCGTACCTAAAACCTCTTGGAGCCTCTTTGAATACACAAATTCATATCATAGTTTCATAAAATTGAATTTCAATCAATAGGTCCTCATGTAACATATTCTACTACAAAATATAATTCCAGCAATATTAATAAAGTTGATATTAATAAGAAATACTTCATAGCAGTTTTCTTATATCCCGACGCGCCAACAGCCCCTTATTAGGTTTTGCTTGGCTCCATGTATACCGTATTAGGACAACCCAACTCCCGCCTCATCTTATGTTACGCCCTGTGTCAGTTGTCTCCTGGAGATCTACGTCCTGGTCACTCCAAACACTTCGAGCGTACTGAGCTCGCGAAAGGGTTCGAGAAACGCTAATGCCCCCCTCACCAACTCGATGAGTGCGCTGAGCCGCTTGCGTGATCGCTTTTTCAGGCTAACGCCTTACCATTAGATGCCACTGGATGGGTGACAGGAAATAAAGAGTTGAAGGAAGGTTTCAAGCGGTCGAGTGAATACAAAAATAGGGGAGATAAGCGTTCGGGCTGCATCTCAAAGCACACACTCCTTCGGTGCGTCCGTTTCTTTCGAAACGTTTCAATCTCTCACTCCCTGGAAAAAGGGGTTCGCTTCCTATCTCATAACTCCGAAACTTTTGACGGTGCTTGGCACAGAGGTCTCTTGAAGAAAGCCAAACATGGCCCACTTCACTATCTCTCTCCTCCCTGTTAAACCGAGAAAAGGCTGTCGAGGATTCACCCATGTACTGAGAGTAATACCCCCTCGATTACAAGTGCACTTCCTCGCTCATTCACCCGCCGTTCTGTGAATGTGTTTGGAAAGAGTAAGTGTCGAACTCGCTCCACTGAACTGTGGGCATGCCAATGCAATGAAAAGCTCCATCTTTAGAAAACAAAGTTTCTTATTCCATCTCGTAAAACTCGACCCTCAGTTCTCTGTTCCCAATGATTCAACAGGCGTCACGGTGAATAATAACTGACTTCAAATGTTCATATCCTTGAACTGGCATAGCATGCAGTCCGTCTTCTTCGTATGCTCATGCATTATAAGTAATTTCAGTTTCACAACATTTGTCAGATCACGGGAATCTCTAATCCACACCACCCATCCATCTCAACAGAATTCGGATATCTCTCTCTGAAAACACTCGCCATTAACAGCCCACTTGACATTTGTATGAGCCAACTTGCTCGTCGATGCAACACCAACTACGACCGCTCACGTCTGCAACGCTTATTTTCTTCCACGCTTCATCGAGCCAGACGAAATGCTTTCAATTTTCTCAAGGCCAAGCCACCACCAATGGCAACCCACAGGTCGATGTCTTCGTCACGAAAGGAAAAGTCGAATCCCACACGATACGAAGCGAATTAGAGTCTGGTTCATCTGTACTCTCCATTTTTTTTAATTTCAAAAGTTTCTTGCTTCTACCATGCCCACTGGGTCTGGTCCACGGGAATATCTTAATGAAATGCAATCATGGGGGGAACATGATAAGATTAAATTGTGCCTTTTCCAGCAAGTAGCTAAGTAATTGAAGCTAAACTGCTACAGGTAGCTGTAGTTGAGTAGTAATGACTTTGAAGTTGTTGAGTTACTCTTGGAATACTTGAAGATTCAACTGTCAGCTCAAATATCGTCTATACTCCCTGCCTTCCGTCTTTCAGCTTCTGAAATCATTTAGAAGAAATGAACGACTTTATCGCCATACTACTCACGGCTGACTTGTATGCACTCATTAATAATAATTATTATTCGGTGTAGTCTAGAAGATGATCAGGCATTGATCTTAACGTTCCTATTGTCTTGCATCTTCTCCATGAATTTCAGCTCAGACCATTCCTTGCAGACTCTATTATATTCACAAACCGAAGTGTTAGTGCACCTGTAGCTTGCATAAATTGCCATTGTACTATGGAAACTGACTCATGAAGTTCATAAAAATAAAATGATCATGTTATGACAAGATTAATGAAAAGATAATGAGGTAATTCAAACAAAAAGCTGAACTACCTACCTCGGAGCCGAACAGTTCCAGTTAAACTGCAGTTGAACTACTGCGACCTTCAGTGGTGAGTCGGTAAAAAAAGAACTCATGGAATAGTTAGTACCCATGACTGATGAGAAAGAAGGGCGGGAAGAGCGAAGGTCCACGCCTGCCACCTGATGGATTATCGGAAAGCCGATACAAAGACTGACGGATGCCTAGAATGGATGTCGGAGTCATGCTGTTCCTCAGGTCCCGTCGGCTGCCCTTTCCCTAAAGCTCGGTATCATCATCGCAACGGTGGGTATGAAGTGATTTCTCGTTCGGCAGCCCTGCGTCACATGTTAAGCAGCAATTAAAGGATGTTTTTGGATGAGGCAGCCTATCCCTTCCGTTACACACTTGTCTGAACGGCTGACGGATGAGCCACGGCTCGTGATGGATCTCGAGCCAGACCCCGGCTCAACACAACACACTGCCTCAAAGCATCTATGGATACTCTTACTCTATTTCTCCCCTTTTAGTCCCTCGACCACTATCCCTCAGTTCCCCCTCCCCCTTTACTGTGCAATGCAGAATCATGGAGAGATTTCTCCATCTGCGAAGACAAAAACAGAGTGGGGGGGGGGGAGGGGAACAGAAGCATGGGCCCATTTCACTATGCATGCAGGAAGAGATGAACGTTCATCAAGAATTCATGATCAGTGGGTTAAGCAGGGCTCATCTTAATCATAGGCTCCAGTTCTCGTTAGAGTTCATGAAAGTTTCATCGGTATTTCTTCTCTCTAAGGAAGTTCCGCCACAGTTCATCAGTTTCTATAGGGATTCATTAATGCCTTCCCCTCTTACATAAACGGAGTCGGAGTTTGGAGTCATATAGGCATAGCCCCTCTCTCGTGTATTGATGTTCGCACATTCTCTCTTGACCCATTGTTTCCGGGAAATTGAGTCGTGTAACTTTTCCCAGATGAAAGTTGGCATCTCATTCCCACGCCATCGATCCCGAGGGGTAGAACCCTTTTTCACGAAGAACCCAACTCCAAGATCCAAGTAAGTATTGACCGAAGGGCTATGGCGATGGACAGGCGAGAAGAGAGGAAAGAGTGTGAGAATTTTTGCATCTCTTCACAGCTGGGCTCTATCCCGGCTCGGATTCTGGCCTCACCCTATTCACCCACTCTTCCCCTCTTTCTGAAAAGCCCCTTTGCTAATCATATTGCTCGGCGCAGTAGCAATCAGCCAGCCATCTGGACTCTCTCGGTTGAAGCCATTGAATTTCAATCGTTGAATGCCCTCTCCCCGGTCGGTAATGGCCACTGGAGCATTGTCGACGGGGAAATTGGAAAGATGCCCAGCACGAGCTGCGCCGCATTATTAATCTTAATGGCATTTCCAATCTCCTTTGTAATAACGCATTTGTTGAGACGTATGATGGAT